TTTGCTTGCTTTAACAGATTTAAAGTAATGGGTTTCTTGCTAGGGATGCAAACTGACTTGGGTTCGTTTCAGGTTGGTTCCATACCGTTTCTTTTTTCTCTTTTTCTCTTTCCTCTATCTCTATATCTTTCTTCTGATTGAAATATGAAAATATGTTCTTTGTTTTCCATGTATTGATCTTATCTTATGAAGGTTCTGCAAGATGAAGCTTGTTATGGTCCTCTGCCAGTTAGTTTAGTTCATCTATCTCTAAATCCAAAGGAAATATGGAATTTGTATTGTTTCATGATCGGATGAGCTTATGAAAGATTATGAATTGTTTCTGAAGTTTAGGCTTTTTGCTTTCCGATTCTTTGATTTTCATTGAAGGGTTGTTTAACATTTTTGGTTTTGCCTATTCCCATCTGATCCCAAGATGATGCTCCCAGAAATATTCTTTCTTTTGGTAGGGATTTGTCTCTGTGTTACTGTGTATGTTGTGTTCTTTTTGATTTCTTCATTTCAAAAGGATATCCTGCCACATATTTCTTTTAGCACCTTTGTTCAAATCTTCCTTTCTGTTTAGCATGTTTACACAAACTTGCATGAATTTTGGTTTGGTTTAGCTAGCTCTAGATACTACAGTTTAAAGTGTTATTTTTAAAAGAATTACTGGAATTTAACTACTTTTTTTCCTGGTGGTGTTTCTTTTTTGGCAGAAAGCGAAATTTTTCCTGTAAGTTTTTTAATTAGTTGGAACTTTGAGATTATGGGTAGAGGCAGAGGAAAGGGAAAGAAATTGACTGTTAACAATCACGATGATACTGGCAGTGGTGAAGAAGAAAAGATTCCTGCTCAGAAGAGGAGGGGAAGACCACAAAAACCGTTAAAAGATGAAATTGATGAAGAAGAGCCTGAGAAAATAGAAGAGGATGATGGTGATAATGGGAAAACTGGTATCAATGGGAAAGAGATAAAAAGTCCACCTACAGCTGAGAATGGGAAAAAGAGGAAACGTAATTCTCAGGTAAAGGAGAAGGCTGATTCAGTCAAAGAGGAAAATAGTATTGGAACCAGATCAAGCACTGATGACTCAGCAAAGTCTAATGGATTTCGGCAGAATGGAAGCAGGAGGAAAAACACACCCCGGCGAGCTGCTGAAGCAGTTGTTGAATGCAAATAAGCTCATTGTTACTATAGGTCTCTTCTTTTCACCTTGTCCAATACCAGTCAAGATTGGAAGTGAGGCCTAGTAACTCTCTAGTTTATATTGCCTTTTTCATAATTGTTTTTTTTTTTGGTAATTCACTATCATTGATTCCATTTTCACTTTACTTGGAGTTTTGCTACTTATTTTACTGGTTGTAATTTTTGACAACTCTTATCTATTCTATGTCATCATTGGTTCCTTGTAATATATAATCTGCATTACATGCTTTGCTCCTTGATTGTGAAATCATAGGGTTGAAAGTTTATTATCAGTCATGCTACATGGTTGTAGTCTTATGTCACCAAACTTGTTAGAACATAGTGATTACCATTTCTACATTGCTCTCACAATATTCCTTGTTTTCTTTCTTATTTATTTTTCACTTACAAGATGGAAAGCTTCTCACCATATGCATAAATTTCTTTTGGTTTATGCATCTTACACAATCTATGCATTTGGTGGTATGAAAGAGGTCTATTACCTTAGAGCAGGCTTTTAACTAAAGATGAAAAACAAGGATTTGTGGAGAAAGCATGGGAGGCCTCCTTGGGAAGTCAATTTCCAGGCTAAATAAAGCTTCAGAAGCTGAAATATGAAATTGGAATTTGGAAGATCCTACAAAATACAGACTAATTAAAAAGTTCTGAGCTTGATGTTTAACTGTTAGTGTTAGTGTGGTGTAGATCAATAGACGATATACCCGCATGTTTTAAAAGAGAATGACAGGAAACAAATTGTGCCTGCTTTTTCTTTGGTAGGACTCCTGGACATGATGAGCTTTTTAGGGAGAAATTTGGATCAGGGTTTGTGAGGTCTCTTAAGGCTAGGTGTACGATGAGATAAGATTACTATAAACTTCGATATGTAGCCTATTGGTTTAGCACATACTTCTGAAACCACAATCTTCATGGGAATGCCCGTTTCTCTGTATTTTACATTATTTTGCTGTGTTAATACTTGAGAGTGGTGATCTAAGGTTTCTACCTTCTCTGCAAATAATTTCAAAGCCATTTTGTTTTTCCCCTTATCTTTTATTGGATTCTTGCATTGTAGAATGGTTTCTTGGTGACACATGGAGAAAGTTGTTTCTTTACATCTGTCATTAGGCACTTAGTGGTGATCTTGTTGGTAATCAATAAAGTTGTTATTTCTAGTCAATTAAGAGGCAGATACTTTTATACCAGTGCTAATGCGAGTTGTATGCTGTACTCTAATCATTGATTATCTTTCTTTCCTTTTAATACTCATTGCACAGATAGAAGTATTTGAAAATTTTTATGTGTATTATTCAGTTTTCTATGATAGTCCATGACTCAAATATGGCTTTCAGATAGATTTAGCTGTTTTAGTTCAGTACATGTGAAATATGACATGTCTTTGGTGCTTTCTATTGATCTTGCCAACATGTTGGACCCATATATCCAACTACTTGTGCCATTGTTCATAATTGTTATGTTCAATGATACGTTGATGCTCTTAGAACCTGTTGTTATTGGTGGCTACATAGGGTGACAAGGAGGACCATTCACGCTCCTAAAGCATGTTTACATGCTTTGCTGGGTTATCTCAGTCCTCCCTGATCAAATATAGCAATAAAAAGGATTCAAATTTTGTTTATAGATTGCATAGGGCTGTCTGCTGGTGAATTAGAATTATCAGTTTAGTTCTCTTCCTGTAATACGTTGTGAAACCTGATTTCTCTTTAGTTAGGATATATTTTTATGTTTTTGCAGTGTCATATTTTGTATGATGTCTTTCAAAGTTGCATTTCAGGGCTTTTCAGTGGGAGGTCATCCAAGGAAAAGGAAAGGAAAGGAAAGGAAAGGAAAGAATACACATGGAGTGTAAGAAGGTGGGGTAAAGATGTGGGCTTGTCTTCTCTGCTTTTTGTAAATGGATGGGTTCTAATGGGCTCATGGGCCCAAATCACTTCCTTCCTTTTTCCTTTGTCCAGTATTCCTTAGCCCAATTTACACAAGAATTACAGATGACAATTGCCATGGTTACAACAGTTTGGTAAGAAAAACGCCAAGTTCAGGATGCTAATGAACAAAATAATGGTATAAGGATTGTAATGAACAAATTTTCAAAGTACAGGACGTTAAACAAAGGTTAAAGACTGACGTGTAACGGATTGAGATGAAGCGGAGCAGCCGGTTTTGGGTTTTTAATATTTTATTTGATAAGACTCTTAATATTTTATTTTTTATTTGAGAAAACTGTTTTACAAGTGGATTATACCTAGTTTACTTTATAAAATAAATTAAACATTTTAAGAAAAGTAATATATAAATAAATTTAAAGGTATTTAAGTAATTTTTATATAGTTTACTTTATAAAATAGTTTTTATTTTTTATTTTTTAAAAAAATATATAAAATATTAATTAAAATAAATATTAAATATATTTCATTTTTTAACGTATTAAAAAATAAAAAAACTTATAACTATAATTACAAATTAATATTGTTAAATTAAATTTAAAACATTTTTAGAACAGTACCGTTGTTATACACTGATTTGTTAGTATATATAAATTGCCTAATTTTTATTTTAGTATAATTATTAAGAATAATCGATAATTAATAAAATAAATATTTTAAAATATTATAATTAATTATTTTAAAAAAATATAAACAAATAAAAATAACATAAAAAAAAAACTGCCCATGCATAATTATAAACTGATAGGATATAAAAAAACTGTGTGGCATAAAATGTGTGCTTAAACACAGCCGCATTTCTTGGTGCCCGACAGAATGCACATGGTTTTAGAAAAAGTTGCCCAACCGTACGTCCATGTCTCCTAGCTATCAATTTTGCTTATACCACCACTTAACAATACCCAAACTGTAGCATGTTTATAATGCTTATAATACATGTCATGTATAAGCATGTCAAGTGCCAGCAAATGCAACAAAAAATGAGAATAGCGCCTATCCACCAAGGCTACCATCTCTATCTCCTCCTTGCTTTTATTGGCTCCATAGCTCAAGTTCAAGCCGCCACAACAGGGAATGTGACTGTCACACTCTCCCGGAATAGTTTTCCGGATGGTTTTATATTCGGAACGGCATCATCAGCTTACCAAGTTAAGATTCTTCAACGATCTTAACGTATATACAGATGTTATTTTTATGCTTTTTCTGCTAATCTTTGTTCATTTTTTCAGTATGAAGGTGCAGCTAATGAAGGGGGCAGAGGACCAAGTAACTGGGACACTTTCACTCACCAACATCCAGGTCTCTTTCTCCATCTATGGTGCTTTCAGTACTCTCAGAATCATGTCCTGTTTTTTCTTTCCAGAGTATATCATAGTTGTAATGTTTATGTTGTGAAACAGAGAAGATAGCTGATGGTAGTAATGGCGATGTAGCTACCGATTCATATCATCGGTACAAGGTACCACAAAACTAAGGATGTCCTCTTATGTATTCACCATCTATATATGAAGGGACATGATCTTCTTCATTTGTTATAGGAAGATGTTGCAATTATGAGAGAAATGGGTCTAGATGCTTACAGATTCTCAATCTCATGGTCCAGAGTTTTGCCAAGTAAGAAAATTCTGTTATGGTACGGCAGCAGCCGGGAATTAAAAGGAAATTCTTACCCACTCTTCCATTCTTGGTTTCTTTCTTTCAGATGGAAAACTAAGTGGGGGTGTGAACCAGGAAGGAATCAAGTACTACAACAACCTCATCAACGAACTCCTAGCCAACGGTCATATTCAATCTCAT